AATAAAGCTGGGCTGGGAAGTTCTGTCTGTCAGCCTTCCCTAGCTCTGTGTTCTCCCAGGAGCACGTTATCGCTTGCCCATAACTAAACTGCCCTCAGTCCCTTAAGTTTGCATCTCTTTGTCCTGAACCTCAGGCTGTCCCTCCTGCCCACCCAGCTGCACAGGGCACTCACCATTGTGACCCACAGCAGATTAAAAGGCCTTTTGGAGGGCCTGGAGAGATGGGTCAGTGGTTAAGAGTACTTGACTGCTCTTCTAGAGGGCCTGAGTTCAATTCTCAGCAACCACGTGGTAGCTCACAATCTGTAATGGGATCAGATTCCTTCTTCTGGTGTGCATGAAGACAGAATATTCATATACATAAAGTACATAAATAATTTCTTTTTTTAAAAAAAAGTCTTTTCAGCTGGGTTTGGAGGTACATGTCTATAATCCAACACCTGGAAGTCTAAGTCAGGAGGCTCTCGAGTTCAAGGCCAGCCTGGGCTACAGCAAGGTGCTTTTTCAAAAAACAGAATCGTCGTTTTTCTAAAGGTCTTTCTGTCTGTGCTCACGCTCTTTCCTTCCTTCCTCCATGCCTGAGAAGGGCAAGAGCCAAAGCTCAGAGTCACCAGGAGAAATACAAAGCCTTCTAGGTGCAAACACGGTCAGCCGGGAGGGACAGGCAGAGCCTGGTAGGGGCAGGCGCAGAAGGAGCAGGCCCTACCGGACAAGGCCGTGCAGCCAGGGGCTGTTCCCATGTCAGTGGCAAGAAAAGGAAGAAGATTCCAAGACTGGGGATATTTTGACAGCATGCTTGCAGGGGTGTCTCTCTCGCTGCCCCTGCGGAGGTGGATGTTGTAGGTTTTCTGGGAGGGTAGCCAGCCAGCTGTCTCACCTACTGCTTTGGCTGCGACAGTGCTCAGACTAACCACCCCGGTAGTTAAAGCACAGGAAAGCGACGCTGTAGTGCTGATTAGTAGCCTTCCTTGCCACCGTTTCTTTTCTCTCCTCCCCTTCCTTCCTTCCTTCCAGATCTAGGAAGTCTCAGAACCTTGGGTAAATGGTTCAGAACCAGCTAAGGCATCTGAAGCCCGCAGGGAGCCAGCGTGAGCAATTCACTTTCCCCCTCCTGGCTCTCCTCCAGCTCGTAGATAAGGGCGCTGGCACCTTCATGCTGACGACAGGGACCGGTAACTACAGACCTTTTAATGAGGAATGAGGAGGATGCTTGCAGCTCCCTCTGCAAAATCCTCACGAGTTCTGCAAGGTCAGCATTTTGTATCCCAAGGACGAACAACCCTTTTGTTACCAGGGAAGTGCACAGTATAATTGTACGGGTAGGAGGATGTCCTGGAGTTAGAGACGGAGACACAGGACCCATGGAGACAGGCGGGAAGGAGACAGGAGGAGTCTGAGGTTATGAGCTGCAGTTCAACAGCTCCTTGTTCTGTTTTCCATGACGTGCTACAGATGGAAGAGGAGGGAGATGAGCAGGTGGCGAGTACTCTTGGAATTCCTGCTTTGAATGAATACAGGGCGTTCCTGGACTTGGAGAGTAGCTGGGCTTAAACCCTGTCCAACAAACTAGACTGACATTGCCTGAGCCTGGTTTGGCTCAGTAGGCCATGAGCAACAACCTTATGAGAGATTGCATGCTTCCCGTAAACATGGCAGAATAATGTCCCAGCACATCGTGAAATGTTTGTCCTGATTCAGCACTTAGCTTCTAGGTGAATTATGTAGCTTCTCATGGGCCGGGGTTCTCTCTGGTAACAAGTGGAAGAAATATGACTTTGGGGAGCAGTACTGGGGACATGAACACATGAAGCAAGCACTGTGCTACGTCCCTGTCCCCACAAATGTGATTTGAATGCATCAAGGATCTATAGAACGTTGAGGGCTAGAAAGACCAAAATTCCAGAGAGATGGGCCCGCTCAGCCAAAATGGGTGGATTTCCTCCTATAGACATTTGCCAATTCTGGATACAGGCTGACAGCTGGGGCTGGGCCCTGGCAGACATCCTGCTGAGGGAGAGAATCAGCACTTAGCAGTGGCCAAAGAAATGAAACTGAGATTGAGGAACTTCAAAATGGTCGGCTCCATTCTCCCCCACCCAAGACATTTTCTTAAGTTACAGTGTACAGTGTAAAATACACAAAACCATGAAGGCCTCAGAGAGAGCAGAGAACGGATGCAGGGATAATGGGCTCCGTCATACCCTGTCACCTGGACACTTAAGGACTGGGGCAGTTCAAGGCTGTACGCAGAGCTGGGCCCTGCAGAAATGCTTCTACGGGTAGAGAGACCAGTGGAGATCTCGACGGTCACATTGCTTAAATGGCAGAGGGCAGACTTGAGTAACCCCAAGCACATGGCGCCTTCACAGTTTGCTAGCTGGGTGGTGGGACGCGTGTATAATCCCAGCACTTGGTAGGTAGAGGCAGGGCATCAGGAGTTCAAGGCCATGCTCAGCTATGTAGAAGGTCTGAAGCCAGTATAGGAGGGTGGCCTAGTTGGGAAGGTCTGTGGAATTAACAAGCTATAAAAGCAAGCTGATGGGGCTGGAGAGATGGCTCAGAGGTTAAGAGCATTGCCTGTTCTTCCAAAGGTCCTGAGTTCAATTCCCAGCAACCACATGGTGGCTATAACCATCTGTAATGGGGTCTAGTGCCCTCTTCTGGCCTGCAGACATACACACAGACAAAATATTGTATACATAATAAATAAATAAATAAATAAATAAATATTTAAAAAAAAATAAAAGCAAGCTGAAAACTTCTCAAGGATAGTCCTGACTCTCCACAGTCCTTCAGGGCAGAGGAGATAAAGATCTCTCTGTTGAACTCCTTAAAGAGCCTGTCCTAAGTCCAGGAGTGAACCAAAGTTAGACTGAGTCCCATGGGAGCTGACACCCAACCTGACCCAGTCCGGCTCGGAGATGAAGGGATTTCCTGTCTGCCTAATTCATCCAGCCGAGAGGAAGGGGAACGTGCTCTGGCAGATGGTCACATTCTATGGAGTCTTTGCATTCAGCATGAGATTTAAAAACAAAAAAGACTAGACCTGCAGAAATCTGGGACCATATGAGGGGAAGCCCAGATAATGAAAGATTCAGAGATGGTCCAGCTGTTAGTGTTTTCATCAAGGATTTTGAAATAAATACATCAATTTATTGAGGAAACAGAGAGGAAATGAACAAAACGGGCAAAGGGAAGACTATCCTCAGAGATTTAGAATATTGATGGATTGGTTTTGATTAAGACAAGATCTCACAAAGTGGACCCTAACTGACCTGGAACTCAATTTGTAAATCAGGGAACCTCAAATTCTCATATCTTTTTGCCTCTACCTCCCAATTGCTGGAATTAAAGGTGTACTCTACCATGCCTGGTTTTGGAATATATTTTTTTCTAATATTGAATATGCTAGATTTTAAAAATAACTCAGTGGAGGCAGGAATGGTGGTGAATCTCAGAACTGGGGAGGCTGAAGAAGGCGGATGATGGTGAGTTCAAGGCTAGTCAGAGCTACCAAGCAAAACTAGCTAACCAATTAAAACTCCTCCATTCTCTTTGTTCCTCTCTCGCCCCCACCCCCACAAGGTACTGAGTGGGTAGATTTTACAGCAGATATACTATATCAACCGCCAAGAAAACAGATCAATTAAAAATGCTCAGATCGGGGCCTGGAGAAATGGCTTAGTGGTGACAAACACATAGTGTTCTTCCTTGGGACCCGTTTTCAAAGCCCAGCACCCATGTTACAGCAGCCTATTACTCCTTCTCCAGCTTCAGGGCACCCAGCACTTTAACTTCCACAGGCACCTATGCTTGCAGGCATTCCGTCTTTCCCAACACATATACATAGTTAAAAATAAGAAGTAAATCTTTTAAAAAATGCCTCAATTAAACCACAGAGAACCAAGAGAGAAGAGCAGTGGCAATCGGTCAACATAAAACAGGCCTGACACACTCATAAGGTCTAGCGCAAGTATAGCTGGAGTTGTGGAAAGAGGCAAGGAGAAAAGACGGCACAGGAGCAATCTGTGAAAAGAATGGCTGGGAGCTCCCCAAAGTTGCTAAGTTCATAGGTCAAAGAAACCGAGCTGATCCCCAAGCAGGATGAATAGGTCTTGCCCTTGAAATCAGTTAACCGCGACCTTCTAATGGCTTGCTGGTTTGTGACCTTGAACAAGCCACTTGACTTTGTTGAGCCTCAGTTTCCCCTTATTTAAAGATAAGATTAGATGAAATAACTTAGAAACTGTTTAGTTTTAAAGAGCTATTGCAGCGTGGCGAACTCTGAGAAAGCCTGAGAGCCGTGCGCTACGCTCAGGGCAGCCTCCATCTACTGGCATCCAGAGAACCCCTAAGGATATGGATGTGACCAACCCAGCGGCCATCTAGTGAGCACTGCATTGATTGCCTCAGAACATTGGACAGTAACTTCATGGCAGCCATTCTGTTAACCAGAAATACAAAGCTAGAAAACACATAGACCGCATGGACCCTTCACTTCTTTCTTCATTTGAGGCCAAGGGGTGGTAACAGCCAGCGCCAGGCCCCTGAGCCATCCCTTACAGTCTCCCCGCTCACACCAGTATGGCTAGTCTACTATTGATTAACCTACACTCCAGATGGGAATCTTCTCCTTCCCCTTGGGAAGCAAAGGCTGGTGGAAGTATTAACTGGTTCGGCTGGGGTATGGGGGAGGGCCACACATGGCCAGCCTTTAAGGGAACTTTGATACTTGGCATCTGTGAGGCAATAAAACACCAGGTTTGGAAACGGTTCTCAGGTGAGATGTTTTCCTATTGGTTTTATGAAAGGTCTATCTTAGGCTTCTATTGCGAAGCGTCTGGAGTTGCCCTTTGTCGTGGTGTTGTGTCTGCCCTGGTAAGAACAGCCCAGGAGCAAATCCAGCAGGACAGAGGAAGCATCCCATAGCCATGGCCTTTGTCGGGAGAAAAGGGTCTGTCCACAGCTAATGCTCTTCCTCTCTGGGCTGTCTCCTGTAGGTGATCATAAACAGCACCATCACCCCGAACATGACGTTCACCAAAACCTCGCAGAAGTTCGGGCAGTGGGCAGACAGCAGAGCCAACACAGTGTTCGGTCTCGGATTCTCCTCAGAGCAGCAGCTCACTAAGGTAAGTGCCTTCCAGCATGCGGCACTGTGGGCGACGGGGCCCCTCTCTCAAACAGCAGACTCCTTGAATACAATTTGTGTGTTGTTATTACTGGTGTAAAGCTAGCCGTGCGGGAGCCGGGCTGTGGGAAGAGGCCCGCAGCTCCTGCTACACTGCTCTGCTTGGGAAAGCATTCCAGGGACCTGAGGGGCCTCTGGCCATCCTGAAGCTGCAGTCTCTGTAGACTCCCGAGGTTTGCAGCGGCATGATGGATGAAGGCATGAGGAGTGGGGCTGGCAGAAGCATGGCCATGTGTGATCTCGGAAGTGTGATCTCTCGTGAAGGTCACGCTGGAGAAAGGGCCCAGTGTGACCTGCAGCTCCAAGAGCAAGCTGTTTTCTGTGCTGCGTGATGCTCATGGCTGCATCCTTAATAACTGGACGATCTGTGGGGTCAGAGGTCAGGGTGACGTGTCTTGGATAGGATGTGTGACACTTTCTCCTCTGGCACGTGGCCGGTTTATCTCTGGATAAACTGGATCCTAAGGAGGCTGTACCTGAGCACCCACCGGGCCCTGAGGCTGTATGGCTCGAAAGATTATCTTCTAAAGAAAGAGTGGGGCCCTCTAAGGGGCAGGCACGCGGAATACGATTGCTTTTAGGTTCTGGTTACACTTGAGCCCGATAACATTGATAATCCCAAGTCTCCTTGTCACCAGTTGTGACAAAATTGTCCAGCTCTGTTTCTTCCCCTCCCCTACACCTTTGACCTTGACCATTTCCCAGGGTCCAGTGCAGATCTGACTCCAGGCCATCTTCCTAGCATGCTTGGCTCAGTAGGGTGTCCCATGGCTGCTCCCAGGGGCGTCCCGTTGTCATTCCAAGGGCAGGAAGCAGCTCCAGCCCTGGCACCGTGATGTGTGCTACAGAGGGAAGCTGCAGACACTGGCCAGGTCTTCTCTGATTTGACTCCTAGAAACTGCTTTTGGATGGTCTTGCAGGACATACTGGGGTTTCTAGATTTTATCCTGTGACCTTTGAAGGATTTTAGCCCCAAAAGTAAAGTGATCAGATCTGCATTCCAGATATTCTTTTTCTTTTGTTCCTTTCCTGGAAGTGCGTTGGATTCAGTCCAGGATAGAGCTGATGACGATTTGAGTAAGAGAGATGGAACATTTTTACGAATTTTTAAAAATTTGGCAGAACTTTGTCAGACAGATGAGGGAAGGCCAAGACTCTGGGATGATGAGGAACGGATAGTAACAGTGTCTTCTGCAGTGGGGGAGGGGAGCAGAATCAGCTATGGTGCCCGAGAAGGAGTGGCCAGGTCCTCTCTCTGAAGTGGAGCAGGGCTTTGTGTGGTTTCCATCCCACAGAGCTGCCTGCTAGAGAGAGGAGATGCCGGGGAGGCCCTTTATCATGCCCAGCACTCACTCCTACACCTTCTTCGTGTCTGCAGGCCTCAGGCTGCTGGGTTAGCATCTAGTCATGTCTGGGCCCATCTTAGCACCTGCTTCTGCTTCTGTCCTGGAGCCCAGGAGAGGCTGAAAGAAGCACTCCTAGCTTCCTGGTCCAATCTCTTTCAGTCCGTAGAGGAAACAAGGTAGTGAGGACAGATAAAGGGGAAAGAAAACATCAGCGAGAAAAGAATCAAAAGGAACGCTCCAAACAGAAGTAGGACAAGGTGTGGAAGTTCAGTTCTTCCTTCCTTGATCCATGCTACTTCCCGTTCTTCCCAGACAAAGAACGCGTCTTGTTATTAAGGAGGAGTGTCCCGTCCTCCTGAGTCACCCGGGCTCTGGCAGCAGTCTCATCTCTGCTCTGACTGTGGCCTGCCATCATCACAGAGATTTCTGAAGCAAGCTCTCAAATATGTCCTTTGTCCAACATACTTCAAATCAGCGTTTCCTTTCTCTTTGAAGGCAGCGATTAACCACACACTGATAAATTGCCACGAACAGAGGCTACGGCCGCGACAAGCGGCAATTAGCTCGCCCAGAGGGAACCTGGGCCTGAGGGGTTCCTGAGGCTTGTGTGCTGGAGGGCAGCTGTGACTCAGTATTCCTGCCTTCTCTGCCCAGCCATGAAGCCGCCCACAGACCTGCAGGGGGATCAGTAATCAGACGTTGTGGGCTGGACAATGAAACACCAGTGTGGACATTTTCACTTAGGAAGGCTTTCTGTGAACTTCTCTCTCCAACCCCCAGAAAGAAAATAGATACCTTGTTCTTAGCTTTCATTTAGAAAGTGCGCTCAGCAGCCACAGCCCAGGAAGTACCAGGGGGAAACTTTCTGCTCTATAGACAGGCTTTCCAAACATAATAAAAGCTGTATATTCCCGAAATGGAATTAGGATCCATGTGTCCCCTGGAGAAGTCATGATACTTCAGCCTGCTGAGGACTGTTGGGATGGAGTATGCCTTCTCTGCTAGAAAGAAGTCACGGAAAGAGACAAAGGAGGTGGGCCAGGGAGAAGAATCGTTAGCATTTTAGTGTCTCTGGCATCTGACCTCATGTGCCCACCATTCTGACTTTGCTTCCTTCTCATTCACTGCAGACAGAGAGGAAACGTGTTCTTTCAGTAGGGCGAATGGCCCAGAATAGAGTCTGCCCCGCTCTATGGTGAATGCTTCTCAACCCACACACCTATGTGATAACTGCCTTCAGCTTTAATATTTTAATCTGGGTGTGGCGATGACCTTAACTGTCGACTCGACACAATGGAGAATCAGCTGAGGGGGTCTCCATGAGGAATCATCTGTGTTGGATTGACTTGTGGGTGTGTCTGTGGTGATTGTCTTAATTAAGTTCATTGATGTGGGAAGACCCCGTCCACTGTGGGCAGCGCCATTCCCTAGGCAGGGATCCCACCCAGCGTGAGAGTGGGGAAACTGGGCTGAGCACAAGCGAGCAAATGGGCATGCATTCATTTCTCTCTGCGATGGGCTATGGATAGAACCAGTTATTCAAGCTCCTGGTGCTGACTTCCCCGCTGTGATAGGATATAACCTGAGACTGTGAGTCAAAATAAACCTTTTCTCCCATAAGTGGCTTCCCCCCTCCCCCCGGAGTATTTTAACCTCATCAACAAAAACTAAACTAAGGCAGGGGCCCAATGAGTTGTCTCGGTTGCTATGAGCATCTGCCACCAAGTCTAATGACCTGAATTCAACCCCTGGGCACATGGTGATAGGAGAGAAACAGCTCCTGCAAGCTGCCCTCCAACCTCCACATGCTTGTCACGGTATATGTGTGCACACAATACAAAAATGTGATGCAGATTTTAAATAAAAATAATCTATAACCCACATATCCCCAGCATTCCCTTTATTAATTGAGTATAATCATAAGAGTGTTACCCAGCCTCCTGTCTCCCAGTCAACTGATTTAAAGGCCAGTTTTCTACCTGGGGGCTGTTCTTCTAATGTGTTTTAGAGTACTTTTGGCTGCAAGTAACAGAAGAGAATAGGATTATCACGTAAAGTGAGGCAGTCTGTTGCTCACACCATGTGGTGACTTGAGTAAGAAGGGCCCCCATAGGCTCATCTGTTTGATTGCATAGTCATCAGAGAGTAGCACTATTGGAGAAGGATTAGGAGGCGTGGTCTTATTGGAGGGAGTCTGTCACTGGGGGTGGGCTTTGAGGTTTCAAGCTCACACCAAGCCCAGCATTCATATTCTCTCTCTCTCTTTGGATCAGGATGTAGCTCTCCATGCACCCCACCATGATGATAATGCACTAACCCTCTGAAACTGAAAACAAGTCCCCAATTAAATGCTTTCTTTTGAAGTGTTAACTTAGTCCTGGTGTCTCTTCATAGCAATACGAGAGTGACTAAAACAATGTATGTATGTGCATGCATGTATGTACATGTGTGTATTTATGAGACAGGTTTCACTCTGTAGCCTGGACTGGCCTCAGATTTGTCACCCTCGTGCCTGTGCCTTCTGAGTGCTAGGATCATAGCTGTACATCACCACGCCTTCCTACCGCGCTGAGGAGAGATCTGTTGGAGGCACGGATGGAAGTGTCACCAGTTAGGAAGCTGTATTGCACACCCAGCTCACAGATGGCAGTGGCCTGGACCAGAAAACAGTGGCTGTGTCCAAACGGATCCCATTCAGGATATATTGTGAAGGAGGACCCAAGTAGATGCTTCCTTTCCTAAGAGTGGCCTTGGCCATGGTGTTTCCACAGGGTGACAGAGTGGTGGCAGAGACACCCTGACTCCAGGCTGTGGGGCCGGAGTTTGCTGCCTTTTTTGTTTTGTTTGTTTTACCCTTTGTCAATCATTCTTTTCAAGCTGTACTCAACACATCTGCATTCATGGAAGAAAGCAGAGTGGTACCCAACACTCCCTGAGAAACACTGAGACAGGCGTCATCTTTGGCTCCCCTGTCAGCCCTGGTCCTCAGCCCTGGGTCCTCAGCCCTGGTCCTCAGCCCACCACACCAAAATAAATAAATAGTAAAGTAGGTGGCCATGATCAGCCTAGACTGCTCCACTCCTCACTGTTCAGGCAACTGTGAGATTCTGTTAAGCTAATAAAAAAAGAATTTTTACTAGGCAGGCAGTAGGGTTCGGGTCTTCCAGAGCAACCCCACCCCCACCCCAAAGCAGAGGCACGTAAGATCAAACAGTAATAGTCTCATTTTTCATAAATGATGATAATTTTGATTTAAATTGTTACAACTTGAGAAAATGATCTCAGAATTTTTAAAAATGTATTTGGCAGTGTATTTCAGAAAACTCTGTTTTGAATCTCCTTCAATCCATGAGTAGGTGTAAGGAAATATTGTTGGTAGGATGCAGCTGCTACGGGGATTTTTTGCAGGATCAGAGAAAGAGACAGACAAACTAAAAAGTCCAACATAAGGGGACAGGTGACCTGGACGTGGTGATGTATGTCTGGAATCCCAGCACTCAGGAGGGAGAGGCAGGCAGATCTCAGTTCCTGGCCAGCCAGAGCTACCCAGAGAGACCCTGTATTTAAAAAAAAGAAAGAAAGAAAGAAAGGAAGAAAGGAAAAGAAATTGATTAAATAGTTCAGTGTATCTTTCAAGAAAATATTGTACAAAAATTAGGATAATTTTGTAGAAGATCGTATAAACGATTAAAAGTATTGAGGCCATATTATTAATTTCAAAAGTGATTGTAAGTGAGATACACAGTATCATTTCATTTTTAGAAGATGAATGCATATAGAAAGCATACGTGCTTGGTGCTCATGTCTGATGAGACCACAGGTTCTAGAAACATCTTCTGGGGCTACCGATGGCTCAGCAGGTGTAAGGACGCTTGCCACACATCCTGAGTTCAATCCCCGGGACCCAAATAAAAGTGGAAGGCAAGAACTGACTGCAGAAACCTTCCTGACCTCCGCATGCACACACAGACGCGAAAAACTAAAACAGCATTTCCCCAGGCTTACGAGTGTATGTGCTTTGTAATATAGTCAAGGAGAAATATTAGAAATATTGGACCCGGAGGCGGTCTCTGCCAACGATAACTCTCTGCTCTCCTGGCAGTTGGAGGCTGTGAAGGGATCGCTCTCCCGCCAGCTCCACAGGCCTTGGATCACTTCCAGTTTTTCATTACTGTAGATAATGCTAGGATAATGATGATTATATCGAAGGCCCCTTTTCTCATATTCTCAATTACCTTCTCTGCAGCTTCCCAGAAGCGATATCTCTGCGTCAGTAGGTATGAATGTTTTTGTCACTTACAATATGTGCTTCCAAACTGCTTCTCAGTGGGGCTGTACCAAAACACACCACCAGAAGGATCTTGCCAGCACTGGGGTTTATGATTGTAGTTAGTGTGTGCTAATTTCACGGGCAAAGAACAGCACTTCATTATTTTGCTTCAAATTTCCAGCCAGGCCGAGCAACCCTCCTCAGAACTTGTTTATTTACTGTATGTATTTTTCCTCAGGAACTTTGCCATTTATCTATTGGCGTTTTTATCTTGTACAAACTCTGTGAAAAAATAATGGTCTTTTTTTTTTCTTTTCTTTTCTGCTGTACTGTTCTGGCTGAGGGCATTTTCCCAGGCTGTTGTTTCCCTTCTGAGTCAGGGGTTTGGGTTTTGGTTTTGTTTGTTTGGTTGGTTGGTTTTGTTGTTGTTGTTTTTGTTTCCACTCAAAGGCTGTGATTTTTCTTCCATGGCCTCCAAGTTTAGACAGTTTCCCTCCTAGCCCTCAAGCAGCAGTCTGACAAATGCTTAATTCTGTTCGCACCCCGGCCTGGTGTTTGAAGGTTGGTCTTTCTCATGGCGGCCTTTTAGCTCATCAGGGGCTCAGCACACTTCCCCCCTTACCAAGCCGAGTAATCTTCCTGTTAATGTGTGTTCCCCTCCTGCTGTAAGCTCATTCTTGTTCAGTCGATTGAGGTCTGTTCATGTGGCTTGTTCCACTCCGTCCTGTATCAGCTGACAACATGTAGACCCGTTCGTTCTGTTTTGTTTTTTGTTGTTGTTTTGGGGATTTTTTTTTTAAGTAAGGTCTCACATTATAGGCCAGGCTGTCTTAGAACTCATTGTGTATGCAAGGCTGGCTGACTTTGAACTCTCAGTAATCCTCCTGCCTCAACCTCTCAAGTACTGAGATTAATAGGCATGAGCTACCATGCTTAGATTATTGTATATCTGAGCATGTAATATATTTTAAGTGAGCATTTTAAGATGTATCTGTGGGACTTCTCTTGATTGTAAATATGTATTTTTATAATTTATTTTAATTTTACATGTATGAGTGTTTTTTGCCTGAGTGTATGTATGAGCACCATCTGCATGCAGTACCTGCAGAGGCCAGAAGAGGGCATCAGAACCCCTGACACTGATAGAAATGGGTGTGAGCTGCCGTGTGGGTGCTGGGAACCCAACCCTGCCCTGTGCAAGATCAACAAGTACTCTCGACAGCCGTAAGCCGTCTCTCTAGCCCCAGTCTCCTCTTTTATTACTTTAAAACTTTTTTTTCCCTGAAATTTCGTTCTTAGTTTGTGTCTATTGAATGTAAGCAAAGTCCTTTACAAACTTAGAGTTCCTTTGTGGAGAGGGACCAAGTCTTTGACATGACTGTTTCCTTCTCAGTAGGCGAGAGCTCATTCAGGAATAAACCCACAGGTACCTGGGGCTGGGAGGGGGCGAAGGGGCAGTTTACCAGAAGGAGAAGCAGGGCCCCTCCCCGTCAGAGGTTCCCCAGAGAGGGAGTCGTGTCTCCATCCCCAATGAGTCTCCTCTGTTTTAAGCAGCAGGTAAAGTGATTTTTCCTTTGACAGCTCTGGACTGGTCAAGACATAGTGAAGCCCCACGTCTGTAGCTTGGTCAGGAGCCTGCAGGGGGTGCAGGCTCTAACAGGAAGGATTCTCTTCTCCGCTGGGGGGGGGGTCCTCTGGGCTTGCCAGCACCTACTGTCTGTCGGGGCTCCCAATGCTGCTCAGAGAAGGGAGCTTGTGCTCACCCCAAATGAGCACTTGACAAAACCCCAAGAAATGTCAGGGCTGTGTAGCTTGCTGGCTTTTCTTGTTTCCCGGTGTTGCCATTTTTACCCTCCCCTGGTTTATAATACCAGCATTGTCTGTTAAGCCATTCTCTGCGCTAACAGCGTACTGCTAACAGACCTCAGTCCTCTCGCCAGTCAGTGACTATTGAGCCAGCAACCGGATAGGATTTACCTGTGACTTTAGGATTTTTAAAAAGATTCTTTAAATGTTTCCTTTAAATTATGTGTCTGTGTGTATCTGAGTGTGGATTTTGTACCCTGACTGCCGTGCACAGAGACCCCAGAAGAAGGTGTTGGGTCCCCTGGGCCTGGAGTTCCAGGTGGCTGTGAGCCACCTGACATGGGCATTAGGATTCATGTCCTCTACAAGTAAGTGCTCTTAACTGCTGAGCCATCTCTGTAGCCCTGGCTTTAGGATTTTTAAACAATGGAAATATTAGAACATTTTTCAAAATAGAGATGATATATAATAATAAACACTGCACGTATCACTTAGATTTCAATTTTCCTAGTATCGGTTCCTTCTCTTATCGCGGTGATCAAAGCAACCTAAAGCAGGCTTTCTATTGGCTCAGGCTTTGAGGGTGCAGTCCATCAGGGTAGGGAAGATAGGAAGTGGCTGCTGGTCCCTTTGCATCTGTAGACAGGAAACAGAGAGAATGCTGGTACTCAGCCCCCACCGCCTTTATGTCTTCTGAGACCAGTATACAGGATGGTATCTATGCTCAGGGTGTGTCTTCCCACCTCAGTCAAACCTCCGTGGAAACACTTCGCAGATGTACAGAGAGGTGTGTCTCCTAGGTGGCTGCCAAGGGAGTCAAGCAAAGCAGACAGTGAAGGTTAACGTCACATTAGCATTTTGTCCCGTGTTGTCCCTCTTGCCGAAGCATTGAAAACCAAATTATGTAATAACTAAAGAGCTAGTCATGGGCTGTTTATTGCATTTTTCTATTTTGTACCTGAAACTACCCCCCTGCCATTTTTGGTGCTCATTTTGTGGTTGTTGTTGCTGCTTGTCGGGGTCTGATGATTTATATCGGGCTGCTCTAGACCTCTTTATATGACATGAACTGGCTTTGAGATTTTAGTTCTGTCACCTCAGCCTCCCACGTTCTGGGGGTGCAGGTATGCGCCACCAAACCCAGCCTCGCTTTCCTTTCTCATGGCTTTAACTTCCAAGTTCTTGAGTCCCTCCCATGGCGTTTGTGGGTTTTCTCAAACTCTCAAAATAGATTCTTCAGCGCAGGAAGGCTCTATTTCTGTGTCGCCTTTGTATTAAGTTCCGTTAACCAGAGGATTTAAAACGTGTGTTTCTCTTAGTTACTGCAGCCAGTTAGCACCTGTAACTTTGACACTGCTCCCAGGGTGACCGTGACCAGTGGTGTTTATTGGAAGGAGGGGGCTTTCTTATCTCTGTTTCCTCTTAATGACAGATAAAGGTTTTCTGCCATTTGTACAGAATTTATAGGCTTACAATGGATACAGAATAATAAAGGTGGCTGCTGGGTATGGCCGGAAGTAAGATTCAAGTCAGTCCTGATAACTGGTCTGCATGTTCAGTTTGCAGAGAAGTTCCAGGAGGTGAAAGAAGCTGCCAGGCTAGCCAGAGACAAGTCCCAGGAGAAAATAGAGACCTCGAGTAATCATTCCCAAGTAAGTAATCTGTCCCTAAAATAAATATGGGGGGTGATCAGTAATTGAGATTCCTTCTTTCTTGTCGCTCTTGGCAAGAAGTGGGTAATTTTAGCAGCAGGGCTAAAATCTGAAGGCATTTTTCAACGATTAGCCTGCTCTCAGCAAGATGAAGCGACTTGCGTTTATGAGGCTTTGGGATTTCTCAGGCATAGTACTGGACTCTTGACAGAGAGCTGTTGATACAGTCAGAGCTACCTGTCCCCAGGCCGCGAAGGGCTTGTGCGGTGACTGTGTTTAAAGGTCAGGGTGTAGCGCAGTGGTAGAACACTTTCTTAGCATGTTCAAGACCAGGCGTGTGCCCAGCATTGCAAGGGGGCGGGGGCGGGTCTTGGTTAGTGCACAGTGTCCATGTTAGGCCCATCCTGCTAGGTCAAGGGCAGTGTTGGGCTTTCTAGAATTCTAGCAACCTTGAGGCCAGGCGGTGTGAGTGGTGAGGCAGTGTTTACTGACTGTTGGGAAGTCCACAGTGGGATGCTCTTCAGTGCTACTGAGCGCTTCCTGCTCACTAGAACAACCGCTCTCAGGGAGAGATCTCCAAGCCTCTCCCCATCTTAACAAAAGATAAGTGGGAGGTGCTTCCGCCCCCTGCAAGCTAGAAGTCTGAAGAGATCTGGCTGTGCCAGGATTTGATTAGCCTGTCTGCTTAAAAATGTGATGATAATGGCTATAACAGACTTATTTAACCTGAGAGTTAGAAAAGTACCAGCATGCCTGGTGTCTTTGTGATGAGCGAAGGCTTGGCCATCTTATAGGTAGGAGTAGGGGTGGCTGAGCCAGACAACCTGGATATCTGCCTTGCACACTTCGGCATCAGGGTGGAGATAGAGCCTGGAGATGCCGTGAGCCGGGGAATCCATTTCATTGACTAGGCGGTCAGCAGACATCAGGGTTGTTATACAGCTAGTGATGTGGAGTTGGAGTGAGGACAATGTAGGAGCTCACTGTGTCTCAGGAGGCTGCGGAGAGGAGGGCACGGGGGTGGTGGTTTGGCCTGGGCAGCTGTGGTACAATGAGAAGGATTGGTGGGAGGGGGCAGCTCCCAGGAAGACCAGGCACACTGAAGTAGTCATGTTCAACCCTGACCTGGCCATGAGCCAAACAGAATCATCAGGGCCTAGGAAGTAAGTTAAAAGGAAGGTCAGGAGCGAGAGCCCTGACGGGAGAACCCAGCCATCACTCAGGGTGAGAGAGGCCACCAGGACACAGGCTTGTGGCAGACATGGTGGCTGGGGTGATCCACACGGGGAAGGCCTAGGCCTTTCTTGAGGTACATGCCCACACTGTGTCCTGGGATTGCCATAGTAAAAGACACTCCGGGTGGGTTTATGGGACGGAATCTATGCCAGGCCTCAGATGGACAGGAACTTCCCTGGACCTTTCTTAGTAGTCCTTAATCCAAGTGAGAATTTGACTTAGTGGAGTATATTGAGTAATCACACAGGCTGAGTTCTTGATTTGGAAATGTGGGTATAAACTATAGACATTTTCTCTTTCTCTTTTTTTAATTTAGTGTTTAAATTAAAACATGCGTATGTGTATCTGTATGTCACATGTTGAGGAGTGACTGAGAAGAGCAGTGGTATCAGGTCCACAGGAACCAGGTGTTTGCAGGCTATTAGAAATCCCTTATGCACATGCTGGGGTCCTGGGGTCCTCTGGAAGACTAATGTGTATCTTGACCACCGAGCCATCTCTCCAGCCCCCACGCCCCATGCATATTTAAAGCTACAGAGATAGTTCCTGGTGTAGAGAATTCTAACACACTGTCTTTTCCTGAATACCACATTTTATAGATAAAGTGTGCCTCGTAAGATATGAAGTAGAAATGAGGTTTTGTCTCTTAAGCCTTAGTTTTTATCCATCCTCGCTGATGGTGTCTGTTTTCCTTTCAACAATCAGCCGCCGATCTTCCTGACTCTTTCCCACGAATGAACACTCTAACCACGTTTTTCAAATAGTTGAAAATTGCTATGCAGTCAGAGTACAAAGACACTTAGAGGTTTCATGCATGTAGAGCAAAAGAGATACAGCCTAGCTTGCTGTTGAGAAAGCAATGAAGCCGGCCCATGCTCAGGAGCAGAATGCTCACCTGACGAGCACAAGGCCCTGAGTTCCTACCCCGTCACCAGAGAACAAACACACACCTGTGTGCTGTGCCACCATGGAAGGATAGGTCAGTAGTATATGAAAATGTGTGTTTTTAGTATATCTCTCTAGTACATTTTTGTTACTCCTTTTAACCATTGACGAAAATACTTTGTAAGTCACGATCATTTCCTCCTGGCTTCCAGTATTTCCTTTCAAAACTGCTTTTCTGCCCAGGTAATATTCCAGTTTGTATCATGATGTATTCCTTTTGCCTCTTACAATTTGGGGCAGCTAGTTGTTTTGTTTTGTTTTTCTCATTAACATAAATACCATGGCTGTAAGCCTTCCTGCCCATCTGTGAGCATTTGATCATTCTCTGCAGGATAAATTTCGGAGATGGAAACTTGAGGTGTCTGCTCTTAGCCTACCTCGATGATCAGTTCCAACTCCCTCCCACCAGCAGTGACTAAGACTTTCCCGTCCCACACCTCACTAAGAAGACTTGTTGATTTGACAAGTTGTATACTATTAAATATGTAATGCAATATTTTATTAATTCTTTGAGAATTTCATACAATAGATTTTGATTATATTCACCCCAACCCCTCCCATATCCACCCCCATTTCCCCTCCTAACTTCTGACCTTTCTCTCTCTCTCCCCCTCTCCCTCCCTTCCTCCTTTCCTTCCTTCCTCCTTTCCTTTATTTCTTTCTATAACCCACCAAGTCCAGTTTGTGCTGCCCTTACACTTATGGATGTGAGATTGTCCACTGGGGCGTGGCTGACCTACCAGGGGCCACACCCTTAAAGAAAACTCAATCTCCCTCCTCCACAAGACACCACCTGTCAGCAGCTCCTTAGTTAGGTGTAGGGGCCCCTGAGCCCCACCCTCCTTGCAGACTCTTGACTGGCTCGAACATATGCAAGCCTTGGTCAGACAGCCACGGCTGCTGACTTTAGATACTTGGATGTATACTGAATCATGAACCTCAGTGACCAGTTGTTTTTTATGGGCCCCCCTTCTGTTCCCTGTTCCCATGTTTTAAAGGAAATCCAAGATATCTGAGTACATCCAAAAATATCTCAGTATATAATTCTAAAAATTGAGGAGTCTTGGGCCAGCGAGACAGCCCAGCAGGAAGAGCACTTGCCGTATAAGCCCGATGGACTGAATGGCGTCAGTTGAGTCCAAGGACCCTGCAGCTGAAGAGAATGGGCTCCTGGAAGTTGTTCCCTGATTCCACATGCGTATTTGCACGTGCGCGCCTGTGTGCGTTTGCGTGTGTGCACACCCTACACGCATGTACATAAAATCTTAATTTTAATTTAAAAAATGACTCAAGAAAAGATATTTAAATTTCACTTCCAATGCCTACTGCGTATATTTTCCCTGGGGTTTCATTTGCATTTTAATTGTGTTTATGGTTTCTGTTTTGTAATGCAGAAATTTAAGTTAGTCAGGTTTATACATTATTCTCCCCATGCTGCCTTTAGTTGCCTTCATGCCTGCTGGAGGCTAAATAGGATCTCAGATCTTATTCAAGACGAGATGAAGTTCTTCCTCCTGGTGGCTTGGTTTATTACAAAAAGACACTTCAGGATATTCATAAGGATGCTAAACAGTATTGAAGCCCGCAAACACCGTATCTGGTTCCTGTGTTTTTAATAAATGTGTTGGTCTAGCTCTCCTAGCCAGGAGCTGTACATTGTCTCTGTTTCTGATATTTTCTGGAGCCTCAAGGATGTTCTACTCCTGGGGCTCCTTATTGTATATAGCAACCCCTTTGACAATTGTAACTTCTGGGCCGGGGTATTTCAGGAGACTGGACATTCAAGCTTGGGAGAGCTTGAACACAGGAAATAGGAACATAAAGTCGGAATTAAGAATCTGTGAGTGATGGCCCCAGGTCTTATCTCATCAGTAAATTGCAGGCTTTATGAACTTCCTGTGGCGTGTTCACTTTGGGCCCTGGGATTGGTTGTCTTGGTCAACCTTTTTGCTGACTAGTCTACACTGCATTCTGGTTCAATGATCGGTTTGTCCAGACTCATAAACACGTATTTTCTCATTATGCCTAATTTGCTGCCAATATAAGGACAAGCAGTAACATGTGAAGATAATTCACTTTGGCCAGGAATCTGGGTGTGAAACCCCGTCTTCCACTCAGGCATCCAGTGTCAATGGAACGGACGATGAGAAGGCCTCACATGCCAGCCCGGCCGACACGCACCTCAAGTCTGAGAATGATAAGCTGAAGATGGCACTGACGCAGAGGTGAGGCTGCTTCCCGACCCATGCCCCCTCTTCTCTATGCTCTGTGTTTCCTGGAGGCCTTTCCCGCTGGGCGGGGTGTCGGGAGGTGGAAGAGAAGACTGTCCTGCTCCGTGCCTCAGTTTACCTCCTGGTCGGAGGACGAAGACCGGTTGATGCCACCGAGCAGTGGCAGTCAGTGTGTATGAGTGTGTCAGTCTGAGCCAGTGTGTGTGGAGGATATAGTTATGTGTGAATGTGTGTGAGAGAGTCTGTGTTTTGTTTGTGAAGAGGAACCTTTGACATTTATTCATCTTCGACAAGAAAGAGTTAAACACCCCAGAGAAGTCTATAAAACCCTAAGAAACGTCAGCTGTCTTTGAAAAGCCCTCAGCCACACTCTCAGGAGTGCCCGGTGCCTTTCTGTTACAGCTGGGCTTCAGATCTAGGCGAAAATGCCCTTCAGTTCTGCTTTAAAAAATTCTAAAACCATGAAAAATAATGAGATCACACAAAATAAATAGCATTCCTAGGAGAATATTTGGAAAAGAGGTTTTCTTTATAAAATTAACTGGAGCCAGGTGGTTGTGGCACACGTCTTTAATCCCAGCACTCAGGAGGGAGAGGCAGGCGGATCTCTGTGAGTTCGAGGCCAGCCTGGTCTACAAGACCTAGTTCCAAGTCAGGCTTCAAAGCTACAGAGAAACCCTGTCTCGAAAAACCAAAATAAATAAATAAATAACTGAAAAACATTGGTGAGGAACGTCCAGGATGGCATGGAGCACGTGGTTATTGTTGTTTTGAAACATGGTCTTAACATAAGTAAGTGAGCCCTGACCTCACTCTGTAGCTCAGGGTAGTCTTGGACCCCTGGTCTTCCTGCCTCGGCTTCGCCAGTGCTGGGATCATAAATGCCTCTCTCTTTAAAGTGATTTCTGAGGGTCACAGATGAAAAAATTAATACAAAGATATGTTACTTCTTGTCTTTAAAAATATTTATGGGGGAAAAAGAGAGGGGAAAATGTATGGAGATGAGAAAGATGGCTCAGCATTGAGAGCACTTGCTGTTCTCACAGAGAACATGAGTTCTGTTGCCAAAGCCCATGCTGGCAGCTCGTGATTGCCTGTAACTCCATGGCAGAGAACCTAGCACTTCGTTTGGCCTCTGAGACCCCGGCACACACATGACACACACACACATACACGAATAAAACCACAGATCTTTAAAAATATTTGTTGTTAACACATCGTTCTTACATATTTATTGCATACAGCATGAATATAGCGTGTTGATAAAATCAGAGACAGCAGCCACTTCACTTCAAACACAGGTGCTTTCAGCCGAGAAGGGGTACGAAAAGCCCGGGTTGTTCACAAGGTTTTGGTCTCTTCTAAGTGGTTCTGCCCGTTAGCATGATCCCAATACTGACACCAAGAAGTCTTAGATGTCAGATAACAGCACAAGCTGCCCTTGTGTTTCTGGGTCTTCAGGACTGGCTCGACACCTTCAGAATTACTCTGCGCACCTAGCTGAGGGCTTTGGCAAGATGCCCTCAGTTTCCTCGTCCTGGCTAAGAGGGCTCTCTCCTCTCTCCAGACTTCCCCATGTCAGAAGCAGATCACCTTCAGGCCCGTCCCGTCTAATTTCCCCGTTGGACTGTTGAGGAAACTAGACGCAGTAAAGTGACTCCCTGCCCGCGGTCCCAGGACTGCCGAGTTTGCACTTACCTCTGCAGATAGTCTCTGCAGCCCGCCGCAGCCCAGCTGGAGACCCCAAAAGGGCTGTCATTCATTGCCGTCGCTCAGCATCCTGGCTGCCTTATGGAACTTAATTCCTGTGAGCTGACCTAGAAATTCCAGAGAGCACAGGAGACTTTTCAATCCCACCTTCTGCGTCTGGATGCCACCTCTTTTTAGATGCTTCAAAGACAAAGCTGACCAGTCCTCCTTTCTCGCCTATTTTTGGTTATTTAAGTCACAGTGGGATGTCCAGATGAAAATATTCCAACCCCAAAAATAAATGTTTTAAATTGGAGTCCAATGCAAAGAAAGGTAAAGGAATAACCATGAAGCCATTCCCCTAAATTGTCACTTAGCTGACACTCATCACCTCTAAAACTCATCAGATAAAAACATTTTGCTGGGATTTTTTTTTATTCACTGTGTCTCATTTAAAGCTGAAAGCATGCATTTTCCAGTCACATCATAGATTCATGAGGCGGTAGCTAGAAAGATAACACATGGCTCAGGTATAGAGTATTTATCTAAATTTTTTCTTTCAGTCATTAGAAAATAGGCATTTCTCTGCTGGGCAGAAATTCTCTTTGTGTATGTGTTTGCACGTCCCTGTGTGTGCAGGTGTGCATGCATTTGAGAGGGGAGGAGAGGGAGAGGAAGAGGGAGAGGGAGGGAGGGAGGGAGGGAGAGAGAGAGAGAGAGAGAGAGAGAGAGAGAGAGAGAATATGTACGTGAAGGCCAGAAGTCAACTTTGTATGTTGTTCCTCAGAAGTCATCGACCTCGGAGACGAACACGGAATTACTGTGTCTGTAGAGAGCGAGACTGACTTTCTGCGTGTGTCTGTGTGTCTGGGGCATGTGCACACATGTGGGTGGCCTGTACCTATGTGTACTTACAGGAACCAGAAGGGGATGCTGGCATTTTCCTCTGTCACTTCTCACCTTAGTTTTTGAGTCAAGGTTCCTTGATGAAACCAGAAGCTCACCATTCGGCTGGGCTGGCTCACCATCCAGTCTCTGTGATGCGTCCATCTCTGTCCCTCAGAGCTGGGATTGCATGTGGCCGTCTATGCCAGCTTTTCTAAGGGTGCTGGGGATTTGAACTCTGCTCTTCAGAGCTGGAATTGTAGGCACGTGTGACCATCTATGCCAGCTTTTCCATGGGTGCTGGGGATTTGAACTCTGCTCTTCAGAGCTGGAATTGTAGGCACGTGTGACCATCTATGCCAGCTTTTCCATGGGTGCTGGGGATTTGAACTCTGCTCTTCAGAGCTGGAATTGTAGGCACGTGTGACCATCTATGCCAGCTTTTCCATGGGTGCTGGGGATTTGAACTCTGGTCCTCTTGCATTCACAGCCATTACTCTTATCCGGCCCCATTTTTGCTGTTCTGTTTTGTTTTAAGACAGGGTCTCCCTGTAGCTCTGGCTGTCCTGGAACTTGCTCTGTAGACCATGATGGCCTCAAACTTGTAGCGATCCACCTGCCTCTGCCTCTCCAGTGTTGGAATTAAAGGCGTGCATCACTATGCCTGGCTCCCGTTTTGTTCTGTTTGTTGTGATTTTTTTTTTTTGAGGTGGGATCTCTCACCCAACCTAGAGGTCATCAATCATCTGGGCTATACCGCCAGCAAGACCCAGAGATCCTCCTGCCTCTGCCTCCAACCACAGGGGTTACAGACATGTGCGCTGCTCCTGGCTTTTACATCAGACTCGGCCCCTCATGCCCATGTGACAAGCACTTTGTAGAGGAAGCTGTCATTCCAACCATCAGCAGAACTTTCTATGGCTTTGTCCTGTCCAGCTCTGCTCCATCACGTGAGGTCACACTCTGTGCTGGACTCTAAGACAGAAATGAAAGGGGACAAAAGGGTGTGATGGCCAAGAGAACCTGGATCCTCACTGTTGGGAGGGTCTTCTCCGAGCACAGAAATCAAAGGTGAAATAGGAGGCCCTTAAGGATGGAGCTATCCTGGCCCGTGTTCAAGGCAATTCTTCAAGAAAATGGCTGGGTCAGGGGACATGTTCACACTAGAGAGAGACTCCAGTCCCCCTTGGCAGTTGGTGCTGACTGCGAGACAAGAGGCTGAGCAGCCCTTGGGTGAGCGGAGGGGTGGCAGAGTTCCCGTTCCCCAGCAAATGGAGGCGCAGGGTGACGGACACTGAACACTGCTCCTAATCTCTGCCGTCACCTGTCACTCCTACAGTGCTGCCAATGTGAAGAAGTGGGAGATTGAGCTGCAGACCCTGCGGGAGAGCAACGCCCGGCTGACCACAGCCCTGCAGGAGTCGGCGGCCAGCGTGGAGCAGTGGAAGAGGCAGTTCTCCATCTGTCGTGATGAGAATGACCGACTCCGCAGCAAGGTGGGCTTCAGCAGGACCGGGGGCCTGGCCAGCCGCAGTGGCAGCCGGAGATGGGTCACTGAAGGCCCTTAGCCTCTCTCCTCTTTCGCCTCCCTCTCTCTCTGTGCCCTCACCCCATGGGCAGGAGAAGACATTTTTACCTTCTCCTTGAACATCTTCCTTTCTTAGTAGGACATCAATGATGTAAATTATCGACTTTGAATTTCCGTTTCTAAGGAAGAGATGAGTGAACCAGACCCCCTCTCAAGGTTCCCCCATATTCCTCCCAGGCTGGCCTTTGCTGTAGGTGACCATCCCTTAGTGTCTGTGGCTTGGGCTCTCCAGTGGAGGAAAGGGAAGCCAAGGTTAAATGAGAAAATTGATCCAGAATGCTGAGGAGTCTGTTTGTACAGAAACTCTGCTCCCATCCAAGTCATTATCTCCAAAAATATAAATTTGAAAGCAAAAAGAGGAATCTATGTTGAAAGAGGAGAAAGATGAGCGCCAACTGTGTAATGCTTTCTGTTGTCCCACTTTAATGACTGGGGGTTTAAATTTGCTCCAAGTTTCCCTGTAACCAGCCCTGTGGTCGGTCTCCTCTGTTCTCCTGTGGCATTGATGCAGTAGTTTGGGGCACTCAGAGATGCCCCTGTAGAGGCTCTCCGGTTTCTGTTTAGACTATACTAGGTATGAGCCCAGAGGGCTTCAGAGAATGCTCCGTAAGTGCAGGGTTTGGGGGGACCTGTCCCTTGGCCCCCATGTGCCCCTTGCCCTGATCGGCCTGTGCAGAGTCACTGAGGTGGACCCCACGTTGCCACCTTTGTTGAGTGCTAATTGCCCACAGAGCTGCCTCATGTCCTTTTTCCATCCCTGAGGTGAGGATGCCGACAGTCAGGGCGCTGGGCCAGTTGCTGAGTTTGTGTGTTCCTATCTGAGCCTGAGTTGATCTGCTGCGGGAGGGATTGATTGCGCCTGTGTAAGCACAGATGGTTTCTCACTCTGGTCATGATAGTCAGATGCAGTGCTGAGGTGAGGGGTAATGTCACTGGAGCCCAGAGATGAGGGGGTAACATCACCAGAGTCCAGAGGTGTGGGGTAACGTCACCAGAGCCCAGAGATGAGGGGGTAATGTCACCAGAGCCCAGAGATGAGGGGTAATGTCACTGGAGCCCAGAGATGAGGGGGTAACGTCACCAGAGCCCAGAGGAGTGGGGTAACGTCACCAGAGCCCAGAGGTGTGGGTTAACATCACCAGAGCCCAGAGATGAGGGGTAATGTCACCAGAACCCAAAGTTGAGAGGTAATGTCACCAGAGCCCAGAGATGAGGGGATAATGTCACTGGAGCCCAGAGGTGTGGGCTAACATCACCGGAGCCCAGAGATGAGGGCTAACATCACCAGAGCCTAGAGGTGTGGGGTGATGTCACCAGAGCCCAGAGGTGTGGGGTAACGTCACCAGAGCCTGGGAGGGCGCGGGCCTCCCTAGCATGAGCTCTTTGGGTGCTGGTTTCAGGCTGGCTGTAGAAGTTGGGATCATCAGTGTCAGGGGGCTGAGGGTTCAGGTCCTGAGGACTGGTGCAGCCACTGCTTGGGAAGAGGCCTCCTGTCAAAGACTGGCATTGTCTGGGTGTAGCAACGCAGGGTGTCTGCTGTGGGTTGTATGTTGGCTCTGCTCCTGCCATCCACTCGGCACACACGTTCAGGTTTCCAAGAAACGTTGAGCAACTGATGACGGTGTCAGTATTGAGGGCTCTGTACGCCCCCTCTGCCTGGTTAGCCCTTTTTGCAGGGTCAGGCCCACGAGAAGATGCAGTCCTGGGTTGTACTAGTTCGTCTTGAAGATGATACCCCCATACACTGCTCCCCAGGCAGGACCCTGCTGTGTCTCAGTGGGTGGGGTCACCTCAATGTGCAGCGATTGAGAGATCTTTGACTTCCTGTCCAGTAGTGTTGCTAAATTCCGCTGCCCTCTCAAATCCTTGAGATGAAACCAAGTAATTCTGAACGTGATTAAAGCGATGTCAAAGCCATTCTTGGGGAAAGCAGATCGGTTCAGGGGACCTCTGGCCTGTGATAGATCCATAAAGCAATTCTGACCCTTCTCCTATGTGGTCATAAAGAAACCTAGAAGCCCAGCACGTAGGCTGCGTTTCATGATGTACCGGCCCTGGCCTCAGGCAAGCAGAACCAGACGGCTCAGGGGAGCTGCATGGAACCTGTTTGTGGAGAGTTTGGAAGTGGGGTAGCCTATGCCTCATTTGAGACGAAAGCACAAAAGAGGTCTTGGCGAGCTCGTGCTTGAACTGTCGTGTTCTTTAAGATCGAGCAGCTGGAAGAACAGTGCAGCGAGATAAACAGGGAGAAGGAGAAGAACACTGAGCTGAAGAGCAGGATCGAGGAGCTGGAGTCCGAGCTCCGGGAAAAGGAGACGGTGAGTTAGGAGCTCTGGGGGCCTTGGCAACCCCAGCCTTGCATGGCGACCTCTGTGATCTCTGTTCAAAGATACGACAGGTGACCTGGGACCCCTGGGACCACCTAGACAGAGACTCAGGACTCCACCATGGCTCAGCTTCTCAGTTTGTAGCATTGTGCCTATGACTCCCTGGAGAGAATTGAAGGTGGTGGGTGTGGCTCCGAAGGTAGAGGGCTAGCCTAGCATTCATGAAGTCTTGGGGTTTGATCCCCAGTACCTCGTAAAACCACCATGGTGGCACACACCTGTAATCCTAGAACTTGGGTGTAGAGGCAGGAAGATCAGGAGTTCAATGACCGTCTTCATTGAGGCCAACCTGGTATACCTAAGAGGCTCTCTGGGAAGGAAGAAAAGAGACAGGAGACTTAGCAAAAGCCCCACGCGGTGTTACAAATGATCCACCAGTAGAAGGGGCGTTTGGAGCCAACCTCACGTAATAGAATGTCCATTCTCACAGTCATTTGTGTTCTGGGAGGGAGAAAGTTAAGCCCACAACACTGGAACACGGGCAAGTTAGCGAAACCGCCCGAGGCCTCAGTTTTCCCCACAACAGAACAGCAATGTCCGTGGGTACAGATTTCATGCAATGATCCATCTAAGATACTACACCCTGAGGGTCACTGAGGCTTCAGAAGAGTGCCCGCCCGTTGTTGTCCATGTGAGCAAGACAGGCTCTGGGAACAGCACCCGCTACTGCACACACAGCTCCAGCAATTTCCAAGAGGGTGTGTGTGTGTGTGTGTGTTTAAAACTGTCTGTCTCCCCCAGGAGTTGAAAGACCTCCGGAAACAGAGTGAGATCATACCTCAGCTCATGTCCGAGTGTGAATACGTCTCTGAGAAGCTAGAGGTAAGGTGATTGTGTGATTTGGTCCCGAGGTGATAAGCATATCCCTTTTCTCTCCACTCTCCTTCAGTTATGCATCTAGGAGGGTCAAGGGTGGGTTTCTCCTCACCAAAAAAAAAATAATAATAAATGCTAGTAATTGTGTGTTACAAACACCCCGGGAGGGCTGCCTCCCCAGTGTTAGGTTTTTGGTTTTCCCATTTACACGAAGGATCTTGTGCACAACCAGAGTGTGTGTAACTATTTCTTCACCCACAGAAAAATCCCTGCAGCTGGTTAGGAAGGACAGATGTGTACCCCGTATGTACAGGATCCGGGGACAAGGCCACCTTGGCCTCTCCCCAGCCTATGACTTTGGGTACTGACCTTCAACCTGCACCAGCTTCCTGGTCTTTCTTCACCCCTAGGGGTCCCTTTGATACACACATAGGACACTTTACTGAAGTACATAACCCCAGGGCTGTGTCGATAACCAGTTTCTGGGCACAGGTTCAAGAAAGTCGTAGTTCATGCCCACAGGATAAAGCTCTTCTTCTATGGTGTTAAGCGTCCTCCCTCACAAAGAACTCTTGGCCAGCTAGAGGCCAAGGAGTGCTCGCGTGGGGCCAAGGAAGCAAGCCACATCACTGTCCCCTTGTTCTGGCTTTGGTAGGATATAACGAAAGGCGGTCTCCGCCGACTGCTCTAGAACTGGGGCCCAGATTTCCAATCTTCTCTGCTGGAGTCTGTGGGAAGCCCTCTGGGTAGAACTTGCAGTCTGCATTTCTGCTTGATGCTTGAGGTGTTCAGGCCAGCTGTGGGTCACCTACCCCTTTGACTCCTCCTCCTGGAGAACCGTCAGGACTGACGTCTTGAGTGGCAGCTCCATCCTCCATCCGTCGCTGTCTTCCAGACCCTTCTCCCTCTTGTCTCGCCAGGCGGCCGAAAGAGACAATCAAAACTTGGAAGACAAAGTGCGGTCCCTAAAGACAGACATCGAAGAGAGCAAATACCGACAGCGCCACCTGAAGGGGGAGTTGAAAAGCTTCCTGGAGGTGCTGGATGGCAAGATCGACGACCTCCACGACTTCCGCCGAGGACTCTCCAAGCTGGGCGCGGATAACTAGGCCAGGCCAGGCCACGAGTGGCGAGCGTGTGCGTGAGGTGACGTAGGCGTAGGACATCCTCCATTTGTGTCGCTTCTGCCAATGCAGGTGCATCCTGTCTGTCTCCAGACCAGTCGTGCCGTCCACCCAGTCCTTCCGGATAGAAACTCTCTCGCTTCTCTGGCCTCGTGAGGTGTGGGCAACTGGAAGCTTCTGACTCAGGAATCCAGAACTCGGTCTACCTTAGCCGTTTACCCAGTCAGGCAGGGATGTTTATATCTTTTTTTTTTTTTTTTAAGGGCTGTTGTAACCCTATGAACTGGGTGGGTGGGGGAGTATTTTCTAATCCAACTATCAATATCCTTTACAACAGGCCACTGGGCGCCTTCTACTGAGTAGCATTCAGGGTGTGTGACTATCCGGCAGATTCTAGTCCATGGGGCACATGAGGGGATCATCTCCTCCCCTCCCCCGTCTGCATTTTGATGCTTCAGCTGGTGTGTCTAACCTTTTGACGTTGTGATACAGCTTCGTCATCCATAAAGATCACACTCAAGAATTGACTTACCCACAGAGAAATAATTGTCAAAAAAACCCAAACAAACAACAAACAAACGACCCTACAATGTTTTAAGTCAGTTTACTGTTTTGTGTTGGGGCATATTCTTGGTTATCCTTGGCTACATGTAACCCTCAGACTGTAGGTCAGGCGTCCCTTCTTGAAAGGATCCATTTAGTGGAAACTTTACCAGAGGGAAGAAAACCCAGAAGTTTGGGGGTGTACCTACAGACAGGAACTCCCCTGTATCCACTGTGCCCCATCTTCCCCCCAATTACTATGGTTGCGGCAATGTTTCTTTTCTTGGTTTGTTTTGTTTTTTTTGTTGGTGGTTGGTTGGTTTTTGTTTTGTTTCTATTTCCGGGCGTCTGCTTACGCTGTGGGAACGGATGCAGGAGTGTGCTTAGCATAGTGCTGGGCACACCACAGGTGCTTAATAAACATTCGTTCAACTAAACACATATAGTGCTTTAATCGGATCCCACAGCAGAGTTCAGGCCTTGTGGAATCATGCACCATCTTCCCTGGGCTGAAGAGATGACCTGCAGGGAATGCAGTCTGCTGCAGGCAAACCCACACGTGGCTCTGAGGAAGGACACTGGCAATGGAGTGACCCTCCTGCAGGGTGCCCAGCCGTGATCCCCATAGAGGTCATTGCCATGGGACTACCTTCTCTTCTAGGCAGAGCGCCTGTAGTCTGAGGCTTCTAGGATCCTGGGAGAGCCTGGGATAGGAGCTGCCACGGGCCTAGAAGCTCGGCCAGGTTCCTACAATGGGCTTGAACGACCGAGAAGATGTCCTACAGGCTATGAGGGTAAGAGAGCTGCTCAGGTGGCAGGCTTTGGTGACAGAGCAGCTCTGCTCTGCCCGGGTCTGTCTTCCCTTAGGTCCTGCTAAGGAAGGACCTGGAGCCCTAAAGCTCTCCTCTCACAGACTTCTTGGTGGGGCCATTGGGCACTGAAGTCCACCCACAGGCATCCGTCCTTAAGAGAGATGTCCATGGGATACCCTTCTAAATGCCCCGGTCAAGGGGAACTTTGGTATTCCCTAGCTCTCTAAGAACCCTCTAGATATGAATTCACACAGTTAAGAATTTGTCCTCGTGACCTGAGGAAGGGGCCGGGCCGGCTTGTCTGCCACCCAGGCCCCGTGGTGACTTCCAAGCCCTCATCTTTCCCTGCAGTAGCAGTCACTCTGGTCATGGAACTCTATTGGGATGGGAAAGGAAGGAAGGCTGGCGATACGGAGTGCTGAGGTGTGTTAAGGGGGACCCGTCAAATTGTGGTGTCTTGTGCAATGGCAGTGGTCACCTGTGCTGTAATTCACCCCAGGGTGTGACTGGCCCCGCCTTCCCCTGCAGCTCCTAATAGGTCTCATCAGTAGCAGCTCGTGCTGGTCCACTAGGGAACAAAGACTGGGCTGGCTATGACCCAGCCTGGGTAAGGGGCTCTCTTCTTTAGACCATCTTGGCCTCCCTGTCTGTCAGCAGTCTGGGCACACGGTTGCCCAGGAGCAGCGGACGCCGGGATCCTCATCTTGGGCTTCACAGGTAGATAGACGTAGACATGTAGAAGGAGCTCTTGGCTGGCGAGGGTGTGAGCTGGCGACAGGGCCGTATGAACATAGCTGCTAAAGCCCCTTCTTCGTCCTCATGGCAGTGACTTCCAAAAGCGCTGAAAATGGAAATGCAGAAAGTTCTGGAAGTCAGTACCACAGTGGGCCGAGTCCATGATCCTTGTTGTGAGCCATTGAAGAGTCTGGCAGCTTCTCGTAGCCAGCAGGTGGGGAAACGAGAGTTTTGGGGCATCCCCCAAATGACCACAGCCCAGGAGCCTGAGGGCCTAGGGACCTCTCGCAGGGTGATTTAGGCTCCGCAGCAAACGTGTGAGACTAAGCGCTGGCCTTCCCCTCCACCTGCTTTCTCTAAAGAGCTCATGTCTCTTCATCTGCTCTCTTTTTAACAGTCGTGACCCAGAAACAGCCTGGGTGGCCAACAGGAGGCTGGCCCCAAATACAACCTCCAGCCCTGCAAAAGGTAGGCTCTGTACAGAGCAGATGAGCCACTGATTGTCCAGTCTCCGCTCGCACTGATGGACATGCCTCCAGTTGTGATGTCTGGCCCAGCCCTGGGACGGTCGTCATGACCTCAGACCCTGTGCAGGTGCAGTGAGCTGTTGGCTCCCGGCGATTACTGCCGCAGTGTGCCGCCTCCGAACCAGGTGTCCCCTGAGCTCTCCTGACAACTCGAGAATGGCAGTCTGTGCCTTGCTTTGCAGGCTTTCTGTAGCCGTTCACACAGGGCCTAAAAGAGGCCAAGGAAAACTCAGAGAACTCTTTAACCGTAACCCATATGCATTTCTGACGTAAGGCTGGTAGGGACAGGACCTGCTTCTGGGGCCTCAGGAATGTAACTAGAAGCGCAGATTGGGAGAGCCACACAAAGCCTGTGCTAGCCCTCAGATCATCCCCCCAAGCGCTGTCACTGGAGACCTCAATTGGGGGAGAGAACTTGGCAGAGATCATCAGCAGGAAGCGGAGGCAGAGAGGCATGCCCAGGGGACCCCAGCTGTGACCAGCAGCAAGAGCTCTTAGGTCTCTTGGACCTTGGTCCACTGTTCTCCTCAGAACCATATCGCGGTTCTCCTTTGATGTTTCTTAGATGCCAAAAAGAAATAAATATTCATCTGCCCTAGTAAAAACACACTGTATTATTTCAGTGTGTGTCCACAGTGCAGGACAGCTGGCAGGGGACTGAGGCCCATCACGCTTCTGTTGGCCAGACATAGCGAGGCCCATTTCTGAATGGTTCTGGTCTGTAGGGGACCCTTCAGTAACCTCTGTGCTCTGAGAGGCCAGTTTGGTAGAACACAGACTGGCTTTAAATTCTCTGCTGGTGGTTTTCATGGGTGCACACTCATCTTTTTCAAGAGGCAGCAGGCCTTTGACTGCAGGGACAGAAACGGTGTTCCCGCCCAGAGGTGGTCGGTCCAGATGAGCCACAGCTGGGGAGGTGCTGCTTGTCCAGGGCTTAGAGCGGTTTGCAGGTTTGCACGTATGAGCTGCCTGCAGAGGCGGCTGCTCTCCCGTCTGCGGGCTCCACAGCCTTCAGCTATGTGATGGTCAGCATGTACTGCATTGGATGTGAGACATCACAAAAAGGGTGGCGTGTCATAGAGTCCGTGAGTGACCGTAAAGCATCGTGTCCACTTTGCGGGGGCTCTTTTCCTATAGACAAATCCCCTCTCCTGCAGACCCCAGGGGCAACTGCAAACGAGACCCAACGTGAACCTCAGGTGTAGTAGCCAGGTGCATTCTTGGAAAGGAGGCGACCTGATAGGAGCTCCCCTTCAGGGAGCACCAGCCGCTGCTGTTTGCTAAGAACTGATAGTAAGTCACTAGAAGTTACGATCAAAATTCAGGGGGACCCAATGGAGTTTGAAGCACTTGCAACACAAACCGGAAGCTTTCCAGTCAACGTCCGTCCGTACATATTTTGAATGGTAGGCATGATTTAAATAGACCAAGATTTCTGAGTACGTGGCTTCCCAAAAAAAATAGACGATATTCTGGGGACAGTGGGTGTGACGGCGTGGAGCAGAGCCCTGAGCAGGAGTGTGAATTACTTCATGTCTTTCCCTTACACCTTCCCTCTTTAAAATCAAATCTGTCAAGAATTCCTCAAATGTGTGTGTGTGTGTGTGTGTGTGTGTGTGTGTGTGTGTGTGCGCGCGTGCGTGCATATTGGAAAAGACAGCCTGACAAAGCCGGGGTAACACCTAGGAGAGATCAGCTACAGCTCCGTACGTAACTAGGAGGAGTCTTGCAGTATTTCTGGTGGTGATGCTGAATGTTCTGGACTCCGCTTACAAGGCCTTGTGGGTCTCAGACAGTGCAGCCCTTGCTGCAGAGTGGCCTCTGGGCCACAGAGACCCCTCCAGAAGCCCGGCGTGTTAACAGTGGGCCACAGTGGAGTCCACGCTTGTGCATTTTGTCGAGAGATTGGCAGGAGACTGATGTTTCACAGCTGCTGGGGATATGGTGCTGTCTCCACCCTCCCCTCCCTCTCCCTCTTCCCTTCCCCCTCCTCCTCCTCCTCCCTCTCCCTCTCCCCCATATCTCTTATCTTTTTTGATAGGAAGGCCTGAGTTTCATCCCTTGTGCAGTGTCTCGTGATGTCACAGCAGGAAGGCATTCCCTCATATCCATAAGAGCTTAGTGCTAAGTATGGACTGGATAAGCAAACTATTTCATGAGTAACACCTTTTTTCTTTCTAAATGCTTTTTTGGAATATAAGTAATAGATACTTGTTTTTACAAAAAGAAACTAAAGATAAAAGGAACAAAAATCACCTGTTGCTCCACCGTCTGATTGTAACCACTGTTAACACGCGTGGCTCGTCAGCTTCCCCGCACAGCCGCTCCCGTTCCTTTTCCATGACATACCACACCATCTCATACACACTCTTCACGTAACCCTCATGCACACTCTTCATGTAACCCACTCACCCCCTCCGACACTCGTGAACGCACTTCTCCATTGATAGATACGAAACTACTGCTTTTTAACCGCTGAGTGGATCATACCTTGGATGTCTAAACTGTTTCCAATTTTCTACCCTTGTAGTCAGGACGCCTGACATCTTTGTAAACTCTTCAGAATATTGACTTAGAATCCATCACTGAAACCAGTCTTCCCTGATCTCCTGACCGTGGCTCCTCTCCTTCCTAGACATGAGAGACTTTACTCACCAGCCCCGCTGTGGTCAGTGATTCGGAGCCCTGTGAGTGATTCTAGCCAATGTGATAGGAGCAGAAGGAATGTATGAAACTCGAGCTAGGACTGTGGAGTGTCCCTGATCCTTTGCCTTAGCAAGTGGTGACATCCCAGGGGTAGACCGTCTTCCAGCCTGGGTCCTTGAGCTCCTTTCTGTCCACCCCACCCACCAACCTACGTGGACCTGTGGTCCGAGCCAGAGATAAACCTTACAGGTTTTACTCCCGGGATTTCAGGGTTGGTGTTTTTACTGCAGCATAACATAGCCCCTGTTTTAACCAGTAAGAAAAATGGCATGCATGTTTTTAGGGTTTTAAACATATTTCAAATTGCCTTTCAGAAATACATCCCCCAAGTATCCCCCCACTAGCAATGTGTGTGAGCACCCTGCTCCCTCTGTAACACTGACATTAGCATGGAGCAGGAGCTAACAAAGTTACATTTTTTTTTATTAAAATATGATCCTTGTTGGCAGAAATATTTATTAGACTATATGTTTTGTGTCTTCTGTTCATCTCTGGCCAGTTTTCTTATAAGGTCTTTAGCAGTCTCGTCGATTGTTTTTTTTTTTAGTGTATAGGTGTTTGTCCGCATGTAGTCTGAGCATCACTTGGATGCCTGATGCCCAAAGAGGCCAGAAGAGGCCATCGGATCTCCTGGAACTGGAGTTACAGAAGGTCGTGAGCAGCCATATGGGTGCTGGGAGCCAGACCCTGGGCCTCTGAAAGAGTAGCTAGTGCTCTTAACCACTGAGCCATCTCTCCATCCTCCAACCCCTTTTTATTTATCTTTGGTTTTGTTTTTGTTTTTTTGAAACAAGGTCTCAACTCTGTAACTGTGGCTAGCCTGCAACTCACTATGTAGACCACACTAGCCTTAAATTCGTGGCGGTCCTCCTGCCTCAGCCTTCCGTGCTGGGGTTACAGGCTTGCTCCACCACACTCAGTCCCATTGATTTCAAAGTTTTTTCAGAAGTGTTATATAAAAATTAAAGTTGTATTATGGCTCTTAGAAAAAAAAATGCTTAAACATTAAAAAGAAACCTTTTTAGTCCACTCTGTGTTTTTCTTTATAGTTAGTCCTTTGCTGTCACGATTGCGAAAGGCTTCCCAGTTATTCTAGTAGGTTTTACACATTCGTATATTATTCTTGTGTGTTCATTGTTTCTTTTCATCTGTTGAACCCCTGATCTAGGCCAGGCGTGCTGGCACACTCCTGTAATCCCAGAACTTGGGAGGTGGAGGCAGAAGGATTGGCCACACAGCAAGTTTAAGAACCAGTTGGGCTACAGAGACCCTGTCTCAAAAAACCAGCCAGGTGTGTGGCACACGCCTTTAATCCCAGCACTCGGGAGGCAGAGGTAGGCAGATCTCTGTGAGTTGGAGGCCAGCCTGGTCTATATAAGAAGTCCCAGGCCAGCCAGGGTTGCACAGTGAGACTCTGTCTCCAAAACAAAATAAAACAATAACAAAAAAGCTTCCTTTCTATTCTGCTCGCAATTTAATTCTAAATTGCACAGCCCAACTGGGGGGAAACGATTCATTCTCTACTGTTATCAAACTGCATATTTATTATTGGCCCCATCCTCCTAGTGGCTGTAGACTTTCCTGAGTTGCCTGCCTGTATATTCTAGTACTGGTACTATAGTGTTTGGTAATCCTAACTTTGGGTTTAAAATTCCCACTAATGAAATTTTCTAAATTTCCTAGTCCATTTTACATACTAATATTTACCGAAGAAATTCAGGGACCATTTTATAAATTCTGGAACCATTGGAAATTGAATTATCTACTATTTCTGTATTACAAAAGAAGTAGCATCTTTATAACCTCTCTCGTTTCATGAAATTTATAATGCCCAGTTTTATGTCCCTTGGTGTATTTTTTCCAATAAAGGTAATTTTTTTTATTGTGATTACTGTTGTAAATGAGATCTTTTTCAACAGTTTACTCTATAACACTGCATTGTTAATGGAAATCTTTCCCCTTGGTTTTCTAATTGAGGACACTACATACAGGTTACATAAATGTAAACACGAAAAAACTGTAGAAAATCAATGTCTCTCCTGTAGTCAAATTTCCCTCTGATCCAAGATCCTCAACAATTATGTAAAATACTCACACACACTGTCTCTCTCGTTTTCTTTCACACACACACACACTATCTCTGTCTCACACAAGCACGTGCACACACATACATACACACACTCACAGGTGTTTTATCATTTTGACAGTCTGATACAGCCCTTCTGCTATTTACGTCCTTTTCTCGGAAGGTCTTGGCCGCCAGGAAGCATCCATCTACCTCATTCATACCTCTGCGTGGAAGTGTGCGTCGGTGAACAGGTTTACATCATCTGTGTTCAGCCAGTCATGATTCTTTTCATCCTAATACTTTTGTTCTTGAGGCCATTTGCCTTCTTCATAGGTGATAGTTTTGATTAGTGACGATAATTTTCTGTCCAGATTTGTCCATGACTGTGCTGGTCTGGAACATGCTTCTCCACGGCCCCTCCCCCTGGTGAGTCTTTTCCAGCAGCACACGTGTGACTCCATGTTGGATGCTCAAACCATGCTCCTGTGTCTCTAGTTTGCTGGTAATTTTACCAGTAAGGGATACTGGGGTTTTAGGAAGCAAATCTTAACTCCTGTCGCGCTGATCAAATGATTTTTCTCTGTCGTGACTTAGGATGAGTTGGTCCTAGTGGGGGTGGTAATATTAGCAGAGCCCTCTCCTGTTTCTACAGAAGCCTGAGGCAGTCACAGTGTGTTATCCTTTTACCAGACATCTCCTTCCAGAGCTAACAGTGGCTATTCACGATCGCTTGGTCTTTGGCACATCTTTACTTTGTCTTATTTGTGCTTTCGGGTTTTTCTATAAAAGTTGTATAATAAAACGAAGAGCGTTACAATGAGAAAATACTCTTCTTGATTTGGTGGGTTCCTTTTATTTTGGAATTTCATATCTTATTAATGAGATGAGTGTGGTTTTTCTGCTGTCTTTGTCAGGTGTTTTTATGTAAAGTTCCTTTAAACTATATCTTGGGACACTTTCTATATCTTTTTATAGGCCCTGGGATAGTTCAAATAATATTCAGAACTCCCTGCTCTTTGAAGTTTTTATAACAAGCATAAACTGTCCAAGTCTAGTGCCTTTTAAAGAAATAATCTTTTGATAATTAAAAATTTTTTTCCATGTTCATTGGTCTCTTCAGAGTTTCTTCTTCTGTGAGATTTTTGACAAATTTAAATTTTCCCTAATGCTAATTGTCTTTAAGTTTTTGGGATCTGTTGACATGGGGTTGTGTTATTTTTCCCTTAGTGTTGTGTGTCTATGCTTCTCATTGTTATTCTGATTATTTTTCAATAATTAGTCAGTTTTCATTCATCTTTTCAAAGAACCAGCTTTGGAATTTACATGTAAATTCCTAGTTTTATCATTTTATGATTGTTGGGTTTTTTTTTTCTATTTTTCTTCCCCCTGGCATTTTCCCACCTTTTCAAGTTAAAGGCCATCTTGACTTCCTTGTCAGTGAAAGGCACACTAACTCACATTGCAGGACTGTGACCTTTCCTCTGAACATACCTGTATCCCATAAATGTTGATGTATGATATGATTGTTATAAATAATTTACCATTTCAGAGTGGAGGCTGCCTTTTACTGAGGAGTTGTTTTAAATCCAGATCATTTGGTATTTGTTGCTGTTGACTTTTAACATTTGTTACAGACCTTGCTGTCAAAGAGGACGATGGCCTGCGTGTTTTGGAGTTCATTAACATTTTGTTAAGACCTGATAGATTTTTAGTTTTAATAAGTCCCCCAGGAAGTTGAAGAAAGTATATTCTTTGAAAGCAACGATATTTGACCTATGTGTATCAATTTGATCTTACTAAACATACTATTATGGACCTTTAATTTTTATTTACTTGATTCATTAAAGACTAAGAAAGGCTTGTTCCCAGTATCACTGTCGTTTCTGCTTGTGTGGTTTTGTTTGCCATAGAAAAAATGACCAATTGCTTTCTTAAAGGCTCATCCCCTTGGTTTTTCCTGGCTTCGTTGTAATAGAGTTATTTATGTAGAAATACACAGCTTACCAGAATCTTTGTGTGTGTTTTTAAGATGACAAAAACCTCTTGGAAACCCTTGTGCCTTGAGGTGTTTGGAAATGCATGTCGTCTTCCAGCAGGCCGATGCCCTTCCAGGGCAGACCAAGGGTGCCAGTCCAGGTGGAGGCTCCCTAGCTTCCAGAACAGAATGGAGGTTCTTTTGAGCATTAAACATGTTCGCTTCCTGTTGCGGGGACAGTCCTACGCATAGGGACACTTAGGGGTTGACCACTGCACACAACTGATGTTACATTTCTGCCACTATGGGCCACACTGTGGCTCCTCTCCCCTCCTCCGCGATGCACTTTTCTTGGACAGGGGACTAGCTTTCCGAGAGAGGCAGTGAGAATGGACGCCGGTTGCCTGGATACGGGAAAGAAAGCCAATCTCGGAGACTTTATCCTACTAGTGCAGGCCTTTCCAGAAGAATCCAGCAGGCTCTGCACACAGTGAAGTCTGCGCCAGGCACAACTACCTTTTCCCAAATGTGTGGGAGGTGTGAATCCCAGCTCTCGGCTCAGGCGTGGAGGAAAGATGACCTGTTGAGCCTTCATTTAGTTTTTATTTTAAGCCGTATTGCACCAGGCTCATGCAATTCTGGGTTCTGTCTTTCTCCCAAGGTGAGTCTTTGATGGTTTGGAGAGGGCTTACATCTTCCCTGGGTTGTTTGGGGAGGGGGCATGTGGGAAGCAGCCCATACTGCAGAGATGTCCTCTGCCCAGTCCCAGCTCTGCACCCCCCCACACACACACACGCGCACACGGGAATGTGGGACCCGCTCAGATGCCCTGTGCTGCAACCACAGTGCCTCTGTGCCCTTGCCTTCCAGGGCCCTCTCTAAGGCATCTTCTGCCAGGCTTCAGGTTGTGGTGCCTAATGGTAAGCAAAGGGTCTGTTCCATAAACCAGATGAGTGTTTGCCCCAGGACATCAAATCACCGAGTAGCAAAAGGAGTCCTGGTTGCTCTCACACAAAGCTGCCAGAGATTTCTTGCAAAACCCTGGAGTTAGAACAGCTTCCAGACCCTTCCCCTCCCCTCAAGATTTATTTATTATGTATGCAGTGTTCTGTCTGCATGTATGCCTTCAGACCAGAAGAGGGCAGCAGATCTCATTACAGGTGGTTGTGAGCGGCCATGTGGCCGTGTGGTTGCTGGGAATTGAACTCAGGACCTTTGGAAGAGCAGCCAGTGTTCTTAATCACTGAGCCATCTCTCTTATTGGCTCTTCTCCCCCCAAGAAGAGGTCTGGCTGCTGCATGTTCTCTGTGTCCTTTATTCATGTTGTCTCTGAACCCTGGAATGTTCTCTGTTCCAGTTCCACTCCTCTTAGGCCCAGACTAAAGGTCCCATGATGTCCAACCATGCTGTTGCTATGAATACCTTACCATATAGAACTGGAAGTGATTTTGTTTAGACAGTTTTGTGTATCCAAGGCTGGTCTTGACCTCAATCCAGTGACTTTTGTGGGTGGTGGTAGTATTTTATTAATAATTCTCTGTGTTTTCATCTATTTTCGTGACTCTCCCAAAGTGTGTGGAGATCCGAGGACAGCTTGCAGCAGGTGACTTTTTCCTTCCGCATCTTCAACCTGAGACTCTTGAGGAGAAAAGAACAAACCTACGATTGTCCAAGTAACAGAAACTGTATTTGAGGGTGCTCTACGACTGACCAGTTGGGATTTGAGAGAGCAGTCCCTGCTGGCCTCTCGAAGTTCCTTTTATAGGAGGGGTGAAGTGCTCACAGGAGTGAGAGAATCAGCTGTTACACATTGTTAGAGAAGCAAAAGGAAAGGGGAGGAACAGGGGTGAGGATGCGCATCCTGTGAATGGGGCTTGCAAATTTAAGACAGGTTGAAAAACATGTTTTGCAATTTACACCTTATCTAACTAACAAAAACTTTGTTTTTCAAGACAGGGTTTCTCTGTCTAACTGCTCTGGCTGTCTTAGAACTTTCGAGACCAGGCTGGCCTCGAACTCAGAGATCTACCTGCCTCTGCCTCTCGAGTGCTGGGATTAGAGGTGTGCATCACCACCACAGAGCCAGGAACTTATTAATTACAAATAGAAACCTTAACTTGCAAGGACTTCATGCAGGACGAGCAGGAGCTTTACTGTCTAAACTGCAAACAAACTTTAACCTGCAAGGTGCGTTGTTCCTGTTCTGGTCTCCGGTTAACTTGCAAGGTATGTTGTCCTGTTTTGATCTCGTATATGTGGTCCCAGGGGTTGGCTTTCAAGCTTAGTGGCATGTCCACTGAGTCATCTTACCTGATGCTAACCCTTAATGGGTGTGTGTGTGTGTGTGTGTGTGTGTGTGTGTGCGTGCATGTGCACATGCGTGCCTGTGTGAGTTTTTGTGTGTTGTGTGCATACGGTGATGATGGGAGGCAGAAGAGAGTGTCAGATCCCTGGAGCTAATGTTACAGCTGGGTGTGAGCTGCTCAAGAGGAACCAAATCCGTGTGGTCTGTAAGAGCACGTGCTCTTACTGAGCCATCCTGAATCCCGGATGTTAGTGTTCCTAAGGCTGGTCTCAGAGCAGCCTGGGTCCTAGAGGAAGGCCTCTGGGGATTGCCTGGCAACCGGCCTTAGATAAAACAATGGCCCCAGAGAGAAACCTGTGACTGTTAGACCAGCTTCAACAAAACATTCCAGGGTGGGGGTGTGAGGATTAGAAAAGTTAGGCAGGAGGAACAGAGATAAGAAACACAGAGGTGTAGGCTAGTACTGGGAGGGTTACTCGGTGCCTCCTGCAACCTGAGTTCTGAGTCCGGAGGAACAGAGATAAGAAACACAGAGGTGTAGGCTAGTACTGGGAGGGTTACTCGGTGCCTCCTGCAACCTGAGTTCTGAGTCCGCCCGTGGTTATTTTCCATTCACTTTTACACCCCAATACAAAAGGGGAGAAGGCCAAAGACGGCGTTAACATGATGCAAAGGACAACCAGAACAGTTACTTGCTCCAATACTTTGAGACGTCCAGACATTACTTCCTGAGTAAAGCAGATGTTGCTTGGGGCAGTGAAAACACCCTAGACCAAGTATCCTGCCGGCAGCCACTCCCTAGGTCAAACCTCCTATTTCAGAAGGAGGAGCAGAACTGTGGTCAGGGTTGGGCGGCCTACCTTTATCTTAACGTCCAAAACCCTGTCTCAGGGTGTGTAGCCACACAGAACAACTTTGGGTAAGCTCAGACTCTCTGACCTTCAGATAAGGTTGAATTGGCTCACATTTTTTTCCGCATTTTTCGGCCTCCAAGTTAGAAGGCAAAAGGGACCTTCAGGTGGGTGTTACCTGTACTGTCTGGCTGGATCCTTTATAATCCCGTGAGTTCTTATAGGAAGCCACACACTGCTGCTTTGGAGATAGGATGGGGCCACAGCAAAGGAACACAAGCAACTTCCAGGAAGTAGACAAGGAGAGGGAATGGCTTTCCCTCGGCACCTTTGGAAATCACCTACTGAAACCTTGATTTTTAGCCCGAAAAAGCCATGTCAGACTGCTGCCCAGCAGAACCCAGTGAAAGAGTTTGTATGTGGAGAGGCATAATGGCATGTGCCTGTCTGTAATCCTAGTGCTTGGGAGGTAAAGGCAGCTGGTCAGGAGTTCAAGACCGGCCTGGGCTATATGAGATCCCAAGTCTAAATAGTGTGCAGTTTTAAGCCACTGCATTTGTAGTGGTTTGTTAGAGCAGTAACAGAAAACTGGACATTCCCATGAATTTACAAGCCTAAAGGGTAAGAAAAAATCCAGTCAATGTGGTTTCACAGAATACGTGGTGATGAATCAAAACCTTTTCATTCTAGCTCCTGACACGAGTTATTTGATTTCAGATGCAAATGAATATTCAAATGAACAAATCCATTTGATTAGTACAGCTCAATCTGCTCTAGCAAGAACAGAGGATGCTCAGTGTGTATAGCCTCCTCAGGACTGGATCCATCTCCAACAGCCAGGTATGAACACTGCCCACTAGACTATCCATTTGTTTATCTCTGGGGCTGGGTCTTTCAGCATCCTAGGCTTGCCTGAGCTTAGGACGCAGCCAGGAAAGAAGTTAACGCCAGACCTCCTGCCAAGACGTGCTAGAATTACAGGTGTGCACCACTAAGCCTGCCTGCATGCTATGCTAGGAACTGAATTTAGGGCTTCATTCATGTTAGGCAAGCATTCTACCAACTAAGCTCTATGTCCCCAGCCCATGGGTAATAGCACCATGGGTGATGTAACAGCACTGATGTCTAGAAGAAGGCTCATTGGTCATGTGAGGGAAGGAAGCAGGGAAGATCCCAGAGAGGAGGCAGCAAAGGAATTGGGACAGAAGAGTATGTCTGAGTTTGCCTAGATGAAGAAGTGTGGTGTGTGTGCGCGCGCACAATTCCAATCATTTAAGCTTCAGAGCAACACTATGGGAAATAGGGGCAAGCAGTCTGAGGACGTAAGATCAAAGCCTGCAGTAGGAAAGGGAGATGCCCAGGGGCCCGCAGCCAGGCTGCAGGGCTGGCCTTCACCTTGTGTGGGTTGGAAATCCAGAAGACTACATCAGGAGGCACAAACCAATGGGCAGCACTCAAGAGGGCACATTGGGAGGTTTGGAGTCAAGACCAGAGGACTCACTGCCCCCTTCCATGATCCCGAACCCCAGAAGTCAGAGTATGCTGAGGGCTGAGCTGAAAGAAGAGCAGGTAAGGGAGAAACGAGACCGAAATGAAAGTTCAAGAAGTTTTACAATGCTAAAGACACAATTGGATCACAGACTTAGGGAGAACTTGCCTTTGAAGAGCCCCTAAAACCGTTGACAAAAAAAGCAAACTTTTGACAAACTTGAGTTATCCAAACCCGATGAAGCT